CCAACTTGTCGAGTGTGGCTCGAGCGATGGGGGGAGCAGCTCGTTGTTTGAATGAGCCGGGCTCAAGCGGCTCTGGTAAGTACAGATACCAAACAACCTGATCTGAACCAATGGAGAGCTCGATACGGCCGCAAGTTGAGACGTAAGTTGCCACGATAACCTGGCTGTTGTCGAAGTGGTCTAGATAGTAGACAGCCCAGAGGCATTTGCGCAATTCGCGAAGTCGGAAGGTGATATTTCTTTCTTCCTTCTCGGTGGCGTGAAGGCTCAAACATAATCTCTTGACATCCTTGTCGTCCTGAGGTATGCCATGGCCTCCGGTCAAAGCAAACCGATTCGGTAGAATGCCTCTCAGAGCGTGGATGGTCTCATCCCAGGACCATAGAGGCCCAGTAAAAAGCATTTCGAAAGCGTGAGCAGGATTACCCGCACAGGTTACACATCGCACCTGGTTGCAAATTGTACAGATCATGAGACCAGTCGCCGGGTTATGCTTGCGATATCCTGCACAGGGACAATACCTCCGTCCTTTCTGAAGTATCATTATGAGGTGGGTAACAGCCGCCTGGTCTTTCTGCGCAGTTGAATAGCTGGGGCAATATTGGAGCAAGGCAAATGCTACATCGGTTACTTCGTTGCGGTCGGATTGGCGAATGGCAAATAGGTGCTTTAAGTGCTGCGTTCTGGTGCTTGCACCGTTGTCCAGAAGAGGCAGGCCGTTGTGGAAACCACTGGATCGAGTCACCCGGCGTTCAGCTATCAGGACGCAGAGGGTGGCAGCGCCGACGACTGTGGTCGTCATGGCATTTCCAGCCATATCGTGGAGGTCGGCCTGGGTTTCGACAGAGGTGCGGATACGATCAATAGGTAGCCCTTGGAGCGAGAGTGCCTCAATACCCAATATCGGCCGCCCCTGATCTGTGGCGAAAAGGTCACCGTCGGGCAAGACGCACCCTACAATACCAATTTGTGTTTTGAGCCGCTCAACACCTACACCAAGGTCAAGATATTTTGCCTTGTAGTTGAGATCTCTGCCTGCCTTTTTGCGCTCTGACAGCCACGTGATGTCGAGGAGATCTTGGACACGGCTGGATGTGCCTCTGATGTACGCCTGCCAAGACGTATCTCTGGGTAAGAGATTACCCCGACCATCCCGTTGAGTAAAAGGTCGGTCAGGTCCAAGTCCCTGCTGCCGTCGAACCTTGGCGTGATCGTAAGCGCACATCCTGGCTTCCACATCCCTGGCCATGTTCTCAGCTATCTTTCGCTCCTCGATTGCTCGTGCCTCGAGTATTCGCTGGTCCATCGATGATAGAAGAAATTTATGGACTTCTGGATACTGATTCGGAAACCAATTGGACGACTCCATCATGCTTGACCACAGTCGCGCGATGCTTTTACACATTTCGGTACCATAGTGCCACTGATCAACAGCAACCAGGTAGCCTCGAGTTCTGGTTTGTGGAACGAGGAAATTCTTGCTGTCCACTTTCATCGATAGAGCCACGTAACCTACCAAGGGAAGCCAGAAGTGGGTGAAGGCGCGCCAAGGCGCATGAGAAACATTCTCTAGGATGATGAGTTTAGGTCGCTGGTCGTATATAAACTGCAGGATTGAGCCGAATGTTTTGACAGACTCGCCTTCCATATGGAAGGAATCGCGGACATCCTGCAGGGCCATGCGCACATCATGCGACTGACTTTGAGGCGTTACTGTACCAAAATCAAGACCATTTCTGGTGTTCTTGGCTTCTTCGTACAGTCTGCTGAGGACTGAGTGCTTGGCCAAGATGTCTCGTTTATTGTTGAGCTTCGAAAAGTCCACACATGATGAGCCTGCCACGAGCAGGTCCGGTGCTGCCGGAATAGGAGCCAAAGAGCCATGAGCAGTGATTCTGATTGGAAAAACTTCAGTGACAGGGCTTGTGAGCGGAGAAGAGGAACTTGGTGGCTTACGCGTCTTTTCTGCTCGGGATCAGACACTTGGACGACGTCGCGGTAGATCTCACCGGACGGCTTCGAGTTTCTCTCGATGAAAGCTTGCTTGTACGCTTCGATCTCGACACTGAACTGATGATCAAAATCGAAGAGGTGGTTGTAGCCCATGGCCAGGGCCGCGTCTTGAAGCTCGCGGAGGGCCAGGATGGGGGCGTCGGTCCCAGAGCACATCGTGCCTACCGTAAATCGAACGCCGCCATCCTTGGAGACGTCGTCCAGCCCAAGTTCCAAGGCTCTTTTGAAGATCAAAGCCAGAGAGTCCCTAGGGCGATCAATTCTAGCCCTGGTTTCCCCCAAAACGTCGAATTGCTGGGGTTTCTGAGCCATAGTGGTGATGGTTGCGACGGTGGTGATGGTGGTTCCAGGGGAAGGAGTGAGGGCAAAGGGTAAGCAACGTTATGGGAGTGAATGGCAATCAAGAAAGGGCTTCAAGTGATCTGTGCACTCTTTGTCGTTGTTTATCGGCTTCAGCGACCGCCGTGAATCCTGATACCAAGGTTCTCCTGTGATGCCGGGATAACGGCCCCACTTTCGGTCACCCGGCCCCCGGCCCGGCCCTGGCTCGGCCCAGGTTCCCTGCTGCCTGGCACGGAGCAACAGTTGCCTCGACACCCGCGGTGCACTGTTGCAATAACGAATGTAGTGACCAGCCGTAGCTCATGTTTTCCTGGAGTCGACTCTATCCCTGGTTGAGTCCCAAGGTGTTCATGCTGCGTGTCAAAATGTTTGTTAGCCTTGGCGTCTGTCATTCTACTGCATAGCGACGGGTCGTGCTTTGAAGTACCCGCAGTATTGGTATCGTGCCATAGCTATTATTGGGACATCCTATCCAGCTCAGATCTTATCTTGATTGTCTTTGAGCCTTTCATGCTTTTCTATCACTTACTTGCGATGTCCTGTGCAACAAGCATTGCGTCCATGCCCCCTTGTGGAAACAAAGTTCTAGTGCCTTTCGAAACTACAAAGGCACTCATCATATCCTTTCGGCGTCCCAATTCGACTTATATATGGTAATTCGTGCTCAGATCTCCACCAATATCCGGAGCAGCGCAAAAGGCTTGGACTCGGATCAAAGGTTCTGAGGGTCATATATGCTCCAGGCTGGATGAACGTATCCGTTACGCACCCCGAAAGTAGATCACTAACTTTTCTCCGAAGCGTATTGCCCCGACCACGTATTTCGTGCCGATCTGGCGCGTTGGTTTACCGAGCAAGTTGGAGCGTCCCGGCCCATTCCATCTGTATCACTCACCGAACCCTCGAACGATGATTCGCGGCTTAGTGTTCTCAACATGTATACAGTATCGATTAGTTTGATGGCTATCAGGACTAGGATAGGTGATTCACTAGGGAGCGTTGTCTCATTAATTCCCTTCAGCAGACAAGACAGCTCATTTCAGGACTTAAAAGGGGTCAATACAAGCTGGCAGAGCATTATACAGGGGCCATCAAGCAATCTTCCTGCAATTTGAAACAAAGAGGAAAAGGCTTAGCATAGATGATCAGACCATTGTCTAAAAGAATCAGATCTTCTAGTTTGTCTCACGCCTGCAGCGTTGCTCGTCAGAATCGTCTTCAGATGCTTCGATGCTGAGGCTACTGAGCCAGAATGAGACCTCGGTGAAAGTTGAACGAGACTCGCTGTCAAACAACACAGTCAAATCATTCGACCATCGGGCGAGCCTTGCCTCTGCCGAATGAGGTTGTCGTGTGTTTTTGGTGTCACGGCAACGAGATAACAAGAGCGTATCACTGAAGACACCGACCGTATCTGCACACCCACACCACCTCCCACGTGGGCAGCAACAGCAATGCAGCAGGGTATGCCTTACAAGCTTCCAATCTCCGGCTTAAATGACTGAATCCAGCTAATAGTGGTGAGGAAGCGGAAGGGCGTGTCTGACATGTCGGGCGGTGGAGACGCGGGTGGGTTCCCATCACAAGGCAGACTGACAGGATGTGGTATTGGGAGCAAAAGTCACGTGATTACGCGTCGCCTCACGGATCTCGCCCAGTTCATGCTAATTATAACCACAAGATGCAGGTTGCCATTTGCGCTCGGTGATTTTAGAGGCGCCTCTTTTCAGTGTTGCGACGTCGAACTCGACTAGCAAGATTGGTCGATATCCACTCAGAGCCATCTGAATCGTGGCTGTGTGCCTCTGCTTGGTAACGCAGACCAGGGCTCACAGATCTAGACCAGAGGTCTGAGACAGCTGAGTTATATTAAGAGAGCATATACGACTGCTCGGTATCCCGTCTCACAGCTCTTCGATATACTGAGCACGCAAGCACAAGATCACCAACGAACCTCCCCCAGCCCCCAGACACCAAAATGGGCGCTCAATTGGAGTCAACTGACGCGAAGAACAAACTCGAGGACCTCTCGGGCATCACCATCTTGCCAGGCCAGAACCCTTATGAGGCCCTCATCAAGGCTTGTGAGGATGATCATGTAGATATATTTCCATACCCTCTTCGCGGAGCGCGTGGATGCTGCGAGACAAGATTCTGATCCATTTCTGGCACGCAGGCCGAGATCCAATCTCTCTACTCGGCCCATAGAACAAAGAGAAACCAACAGCAGAAGGAAAAGTTCCTCTCCAGCGAATACAAGGAGCTGGTCATTGACCCTTTCCTGCTGAGGCTGGAACGTCCCGAGATCGAACCGGGCTTCCAAGACCCTCGGAACTGCCTCGTATTCTGGTCTCGCCCGCCTGACAACATTGTTCGGTTGTCGGTCCAGATCCAGAACCTGCTGAAGAAGGTCGCTCCAAGTGAGTCACCTCGCCAAGCATCTCACTCTCCGCCATGCGTCAGCCAGCCGACATGAAAGCGCTGACCAAGAGACCAGACATCTGGCTCATGCCACAACACCGAATGCACATGACGGTCCTGGAGCTCGCTCACTCCAAGACACCCGAGCAGATTGCGTCCCTCGTCACGACGATGCGTTCCGCCATCCCCTACATGACAAGCTTCACCTACTCTCACCGTGCTCGCCTCGTGAAACCCATGATTTCATATGACCTCTCGGCCTTTGCCGTCTCTTTCCTGCCCGCCTCTGGCGAAAAGCGCCGCGCACAGATTGCCGCCCAGGCGGACCAGCGTGTTGTCGAGGGCGATCAGTACACCTACCACCACCTTCGCCGCGACGTCTTCAACCTGGCGCAGTCGACAGGCGTTGAGGTTGAGTCTCGCTATCAGGTACCGAGCGCGCACATCACTCTGGGTCGATATCTCGGCGAAGAGGACCATCACACGCCGGAGCTGCGGAAGCGTTGGGTCGAGGCTATTGACGAGATCAATCAGTGGCTCGCGAATGAGGTCTGGGATGTCGAGAGCGGCGAGTGGTCAGGCGAGTGGTCGGTTGGTGAGGAGCGAGGTCTCGATGCTCGCTGTGGTAGGCTGTGGTATGGTGGTGGAAGAACCATCAACCTTGGCGAGGGCTTCTGATGGGACTGTTCCCAGACCGCGCCGATATTCATCGGAAGCTGCATTAGACAAATGGATAGACAAATGACAGGGCTGCTCCAAATGCCACCTGCATGAGTGGGGATCTCGCAACTCGAGCGTTGGAAGTCTTGCGAGGGCTACATATCCCAGGCTTGGACCATGGTATGTCATCAAGCGCTGACGTGCATCGTGGACCAACAGCCGGGGGGAGAACAAAGTCATGAGACAGAATGCGTCATATTCGTGGCTTGGCAACTCTGGCCGAGGAGGCACTCACTATGCTTGAGACTATGGATGATCCATGGGTGAACCAGGTACAGCAACGCAGTTGTACAGCCTTCACAGGATCTCGTGAAACGCCCCCACTGCACAGAATCACCCATCCTGGACAGATTTCTTAACTTCCATGAAAGTAGTCATCGTCATTGATTCGGAATTGCAAGGGCTTTTATTTAAACCCTATGGGAGTGATGCATGGTTCTCTCCTCGACCGGGTAACCCTCTTCGCCAAAGCTCCAGCCCGAATGATCCGTTTGCCGTGCCGTGTAGGAAAGCAGCCATGAAATCGGTTGACCACAACCACAATGCATTTAGAACACCAGAGCCGCACCCTTCGTCTTCTTGTCGCCACTGTAAACCCAAGCATGTTAGCCATGTTCGCGCATCGGTGTCTCATGTTTGTGGTGTGGGAGCGAAGCGGAAGGGGGAGAAGGTGGCCGTACCCGAGCTCGAAGTGCTTGCAGCGCTTCAGCGCCAGCTGCAGCTTGGTCTTGCACTTAACACATTCCAACCGCAGGACGACCTTCTTCGTCGTCTTGGCCTTCTTGTGGAAGACGGGCTTGCTGCGCAGTTTGTCAGTCTTTGGCTCAGACGTGTGCGGGTGAGTTGGGATCGTGGCCTTGTGTCGACCGTGACTCGTCTCTATCATGGTAGAGGAGGGGTTGAACGTACGTCTGACCACCGTAACCAGACTGCTTGCGGTCGTAACGACGCTTACCCTGCGCGAAGAGCGAGGCCTATAATTTCCGTCTTAGCATATTTGTTCCCAACCTGCCAACACGGTCCGCGTCGAGTTCGAATTCGTCCGCTGGGAATCGGGTGTATCGCACCTTGCCGGCCTTGTACTGGGTGACCTTGTGCTGGGTGTGCTTCTTGCAGTCCTTCCCCTTGCAGTAGGTCATGCGCGTCTTGGGAATGTTCACTGGAAGTCGAGAAGGTCAGCTTGCCAATTCTTCCCAGCTTTGCATGGTGTGTTTGGCCCTCAGATCGTTGCCGCTCCCCGCGCCCCTTCCCCAAATGTCATGGCTGTCAACTTTCCACACCATTGATTCGGGCTCTTCGGGTCTCGGGCAGGTCGTCGGCTGAGCGCGATTCGCGATTGAGGGCTTCTTCGATAGACTATGGGCGTACGTACCCATCTTGACGGCTGTTGGGTGTCGATTGCCGGAATTGTCGTGATGATGAAGTGGTTAGGCGGGGATGGAAAACTCGAAGTTTTGGCCAAAATGGCTTGTGTGGGCGGGCGGCTAGGGTTGAGCGCTAGTGACAACTGGGAAGCGTGGGCCCCAGCGTCTTGCACCGAAGCCCGCCGCTTATCAGCGAAACGAGCTACTATCACCACGTGATGTGAGGTACAGAAGCCCAGGTCTCTCGCGGCTTATGTCAGCATCTTTCTGTATCCTGCCCTGTCCCTCAGGCCGAATTGGCCCCCACTTCAAGGTGATTTTGGCTCATGCCTGGGTTGCGGCTGTCGGCGGTGATGAATGTGGCTTGCATCATTTGATTCAAATGCGGCTGACAGCCACATTTACGAGAACCAAGTTCTTCACTGCCTCCAAGCTGTCTCCAGCGGCGCCTCACTCAGCCAGCTGCATGCGGCGGTTTCACTGTTCGTTTCCCGCGGTGCAACCCCAAAATCAAGCAGGTTTGCTGTGCTGACAAGAATTCGCTGTGCATTGATTCAGTCGTAGAGAATGGGGTTCAACTGAGGGCTTAATCTAAAGTTAGGTCGAGACCGTCGTGTCAGACGAGTGCTTGGTTGAATGCTGGAATTGCTGACTCCTCATGGGCGGGAGGGAATCTTCAATGGATCTTCAAGAGGCTAGCTTGCGTCATGTTCCTTTGTTGCCTCGAGCTCGCTCGTCTCCTGCTCTGAGCTGACATTCAATGACTTGGCAGCATTCCCCCCAGGTTTTCTTGGGTTAAAGTAACCAAAAATAGGACGTCCAGAAACGTGCGAGTGCCGAAGAAGAACGTCCACTGTAGAAAAAAAAAATCACCTACGGACGGACGCATACGTCGCCACTGTCAGACCAAGCGGCCAAAGCTTCGCCCGCTGCCGGCGCTCGCCGGCGCGGGCTTTAAGGCGATCGACGTAGGCCCTGAGTGACACTTGACGCGCGCTCAGAAGCGAAACGGTCGTGGACGACGGCCACATGTGAATGGAATGTTTTCTTGTCGCTGACGTTCACGGCGAAGCGGTACATGCTAATTTTTGAAGCGCCTGTAGTTGACTGAGCGTATGTCAACCCAAACGCTCTCATGACCCCACGAGAGCGCCGGGACGCCCCCTAGCCTGACATGGATGATGTACCGAGAGACCGAGCACAGAGAGAGCCTGGGAGAAAGAGAGAGAACACCGATGCTATTGAACTATCCTGACGGGCAAAGAGCTGCACCTCTACAAGGCTGGCTGCGTGGTGGCGGCGGGGGTATCTGCGAGTGGAATTGCGAGTGGTGCAGCAGAAAGGAAGGGAGGGAGAAGGGGGGTCAAGGTGCCCCTTGCAAGCTAGCAAGCTCACCCTGGCGTCGCAATGTGAGCTATCGAAGCATCGACATGAGCAGGATATCAAAATGCTGCTCAGGTTAATTGCGACCCGTTGATAGACCAAAGAGGAGTTGCTTGACACCGCGAGCGTCACCTCTTTCACACAAACGGTTGTTGGTAATTGGCATGAAACAGGCGAGGCCGCAACGGCAACTTGGCCTGGGCCAGTTTCACCTTCTGACATGCACGCACGCAAGCAGGATGGACGGCCAGGACAACAGACAAGGCAATGCCGCGCGACGATCTTCGGGCGGATCTTCATGTGTCGGATTGTTGGATCCCGGCCGTTGAGTCGGTCGAGGAGATGGACCGACAGCCATGATCCAACTTTCTCGGACAGAGAATGAAAGGCTGTGGTAGGCCACTAGTCAAGACCTTTTGCAGGAGTTTCTTTGGGCGTTTTGGACGTTCACGGAGATAACGAGTACCGGCCAGTAAACAGTCGACAGTCTGCACAGTGCTCTGGAATACGATGTGGTGGTGCATCTTCCCCCCTCCTTGGTCGTCCACTGGCAGGACGAGAATAGAGTGTAGCTCGCATTCCCTTCCCCGAGTCCCTGTCCCGGGATGACGATATTTGGGTCACCCTGGGAATCTCACCACTGGCTTCTCGGGGAGACCATTGAAGAAAAGCATCAGTCGATCAGCAGCATCGGAGGCGGCACCCAACCATCCCGTTAAAGACGGCGCCAGCGACAGGGAAGGAAAGAAACGGCGCCACAAGCGGTAGCCTCACAACCCTTGATGATAATCCGGACAATCGCCCGCGGCTGGCGGCTGACGCTACGCATGAATCGCCGGATGACGGCATTCGCAATTGCAATTCAAAATATCCACGACAGATGGGCATGGTGGCTGGCGGCATAAGGGGTTATCGCCGGTCACCAGCTTGACCAAGCGGGCCCTGCCATGGAAGATAAAACACAGTCTTTGGGGGGCAGTGTGTCGATCGGATTGAAGCTCTTCATTTCCGCGAACCCAGACGGCGGCGAGGGTGGCGATTGGCCGGTAAAACCCCCTCCCCAGGGTTATGGCAAAAAGGGGACGCACAGGTCGAACCCCCCCCACTCTGTACCGTGTGCGTAATCAGACAAGGTGGGTGAGGGTGAGAGACGAGCAGCAAGAAAGCAAAGCAGGAAACAGGCTGGTCAACGAGGCAGAGCAATGATGGGGCACTTTCCCAGACAGAGAAACGGCGTCTGCAGAAAGTATTTTACGTAGGTGGGTAAGGCTCGGCATAGTTCCTCTCTAGCAATGGCATGGCACCGAAAAAAAACCTGTACAATACGGACTCAAGCTGAAGAAGGGCCTGCGGCAAGCAGGTGCGCAGATAATGGCCTAGCTGCCTAGGTAGGAACCTGGGTCGATAATACGACCTGACAGACGGTTCGGGGTGGCCGGGACCAACAAACGTTGCTGGTCTTTGGCTGGGGTGGTTTTTTTTTTGCAGTGCGGAGGACGGACAAGGACTAGCGCACACGGTGGGCTCGGTAAGATACTTGGGGAGGTACTTGGGGGACCCGCGCACGTCGACGCTACTGACGTGCCTCAGTTCTAGGTGGCCGTATTGAGGAATGGAATCTTCAAGGCCATGCATCGGTCCGGATGCTTTTCGAGCCAGTTTGTTTGTTATTGTGCGCACGACACGCTTCCCCCATTCATGTCGGAGTCAGAAGAATCGAGAAAGACTCACTCAGCAGTCAGGCTCAGCTACGGATTCGGCGCAGATCAATCAGTCAGTCAGACGGGCAAACAGGCAATCGACCAGTCCACTCACCCTCACCCACTGGCGGGCGGGCGGGCGGGCATCCCCAGGCTGAAAGCTTGCAGTCACCTGTGGTTGTCAGCAGCGCATCTCACAGCATTCAGCCCGGTCATTGAGTGCACTCGATTCGCCCAGTCTTAGTCGCCCGCCTACCCAGGGCTTTGTCGGTATAGGATATCAGTCGCCGTGGTTGGCAAGCAGTGGTGGCCAAGAGATGAGGGTAACTACCAAGGTCGGCACCTGCCTTGCCTCTCCCTCAAAGCTGCCTAGCTCGTTGGCGAACCTCACGAAGAACGAGGAAGGGATCTCGTCCCATGTCGCCATCCACTATCCGCTTTTGTGCCAAGACATGCCTTATCCGCCCCACTCCACCCCTAAGTCTGCTGTTCACAGCCAATCGATGTGTGATTTCTCACCCACAGGTGGACTAGCGCCAGTGCCCCTTGCCCTCCCCCCCCTCTCCCCCTACCTCGTTCTCCTCGTCCCCTGCACCTGGGCTTCTACCACTGGGCAGGGGCACAGGGTCCGCACATCTTCTTAGCTGGGAGGTGGGCTGGCCTGGCTGGCAGTCTCGCTCACTCGGTGGTGGATGGGTGCATTGATCGTTCCTTCCCACGCTACCGACGCCCATGCCCAAGACCTTCAGAAAAGCGTAATACGGGAGCCACTGTGTTAAAATCACTGTGTTTTAGTCAGACCAACGTGCCTGCTCAGCACCGTGCGGCTTTCGACTCCATACCCTGCTAAGCCTGTCTAATTCGGGCCCGTGTAATAAGGGGCTGCCTCGCCTCGCCTCCTCCCATCTCGAGTCCCGAATCTCGCCCTTTCTTCTAGGTTAAGGAGTTTCCGCCTGTATTTTGTCCCACCCCCCTTCAGCTCCCAGACCATCGCGCTGCTCGACGGTCAACGGGGTCCCGTATTGCCTCTTCCCTTTCACATTGCTTTTCACGTCCCTCGACGCTTGACTGCTTTGACTGGCACGGTATTCTTCACGCCCATTCCGTCTTTGGCTTCTGCAGCATTGCTTCCACGCTTTGCACCACATTCGTTTATCTGCCACCACCGCGACAACGACGAGGAGATTTCACTAGTCAACAGAGCAGAACTCGTTTCTACCTCTCGAACTCACTCCTCTACTGCCCTCCCCCCTCGCATCCAGTCTCACAAGGCAACTTGCGAAACAACAATCTGAACGAACCAACAAACATCGAGGCCACGCACAAACACAACGTCGATGCTCGAATAATCTCTCGCTCGGAATCCTCCCCCCTTCGTAATGGAGCGAGTCTCATCCTTCCTCAGCAATCGTTCGTCCAGGTCCAACTCTGCCACATCCAACACCATTCTCCACGAGAAGTCCGAACTCCCACCACCTTCCCAACACAAGAAGACCAAACTCCGAATGCGCGCGTTACTCGGACACTGCCTTTACAGGCGGGTGACGCTATGGAGCGTCCTGATCTTGGTCATCATGTCCATGGTCCTGCTGAAGACAGCCGTCCACACCAAGAACGGCAGGGTCGTAGGCGGCGACGGGTTCCTCAGCGGTAACAGCCCTGAGGAGCAGAACACCAACCACCCCGTCTGGATTGGCTATAAGCAGTAAGTCGTTCGGGCTGCCCTTTATCTGCCTCGGGGCAACGGCGTCGGCAAACACACACGAGTCGGAAGCTGACCTCATCTCCAGTCTCAATGGCTACTTCAACGGCCTCAAGTCGCTCGTTCCCGTGTCCAACCACACGGCGGAGTGGCCCAACCCCGGGTACAAGGAACCCATCACGGAGGTCACCCTGACCCACGAGACGGCGCCTCTTCCCAAACCGTACAGGCCTCAGCCTGATTACGAGTCGGCCGCGTACCTCGCTGCCCACCCTCGCGTCAACGAGTGCTTCTTGGACGAGAAGAAGACGCCTGTGCCCGACACCTGGGCTTTCCAGGGTCTGCCTCAGTCAATGCCCGACCCGGCTCTCGGCGACTACAACATCCTCGGTATCCGCAATGATATCTGCTTCGACCGCTTCGGTCGCTATGGCCCCTATGGTCTCGGTTACAGCGCCCAAGAGGGCGGCACCGGCGAGGGCTTGGACACCGAACGCTCCGGCTCGGAAGTTGTCTGGTCGAAGACTGGTAAGATCGACTACACCAACGTCGACTGGGGTGATGCTCAGGAGCGCTGTGTCGCCCGCAACCAGCACCGTTTCGTCAATGAGACGGATGAGGTCAGGGACCCGACCCTCGGGCCTGCCAAGGGCATTCAGAAGCTTGAGCGAACTGCTGTCCTCGTCCGTACCTATGTTGGTTTCCGTTGGACTCAGCATGTCATCCTCAACTTCCGCGCCATGATTGCTGAGCTTGCTCTCAAGTCGGGCGGCGAGTACACCCTTCACTTCCTCCTTCATGTGAAGAACCTCGATGCTCCCATCTGGTCGGACCCTTCGGTTGTCCAGGACATCCTCGACGCCAACGTGCCGGCCGAGTTCCACACCATTTGCACCCTCTGGTCTGAGGCTCAGATGCGTCTCTACTATCCTGGCACCTTTTCCGAACCCTTCGAAAACCCCTCGAACCGCGACATTCACGGCGTCTACCGTTCTGCGCACATGCCAATGCAGATTTTCGCCCTGCAGCATCCTGAGTACGCTCACTTCTGGAATTGGGAGCTCGACATGCGTTACACTGGCTCCTACTATGAGCTGTTTGACCGTGCCGCAGCTGGGCCAAGAAGCAGTCGCGTCAGCTCTTGTGGGAGCGCTCGGCCAAGTACTACATCCCCCG